AAACTTTCTTGCACAAGAATGGGCTTGTATTATGAACACTCCGCAAGTTTTTGCGCAAGAAGCCTGCAGTGTAGACTTATCCAAAGAATGCTGAAAATATGAACAATGGTTGCATTTGAATGATAACCTTGCCCAAATTCTACTTTGTTTTCAAATGCTATATGAGAGGACATTTTCAGGAAGCATTCAGCATATTGTAAATGCTATGAGATAAAAGTAATGCATGATGCATTAAATAAAATGCTGCTGCTTTTCACCTGCATGAACTTTTGAGTCGTGTCCCTATTGCATTAATTTGCAGAACAGGGATTTTGAGGCTAACCAAATCCATGGCTAGAGGTCCTTTTCTTTGAGAATATCAGTGATAAGTGCAACTTTTAAAATAATCAAAAACCGTGTCAGCCTCTTTTACTGTGACGATCACCATGGAACTATAAAATGATATTTTTAGGACTGCATACTTGAAATGTAGGATTAGAAGGCACCTCATAGGTCATGCAACCCAGTCCCCTGCACTCAAGGTACAACTATATAATAACTAGACCTTTCCTGGCAGGTCTACCCTGTTCTTAAAAATCTCCAATGATGGAGATTCCACAGCTTCCATAAGCAATTTATTCCAGTGCTTACCTACCCCAAAAGGAAGCTTTTCCTAATGACCAACCTAAGCCCCTCCCCTTGCTGCAATTTCAGCCCATTCCTCTTCCTCCTCTCCTCAGGGGTTAACAAGTACAATTGGTCATATTTTCTGGATCTTTAATCATTTTTATTGTTCTTCAGACTTTCTCCAGTTTGTCTGTGTATTTCCTGAACCGTGCCCAGAACTGAACCCAATACTCCTGGTGAGGCCTTCTCAATGTGTGGTAGAGTAGTAAAATTATTTCTCGTGTCTTACGTGTATTGTGACATTCCTGATAATACATCCCAGAATGAGTTTGCGCTTTTTTTTTTTGCAACTATGTTATGCTGTTGACTCTCATTTACCTTGTGATCAACTATAATCCCTAGATCCCTTACTCTTCCCTAGGCAGTGATTTCCCATTTTGTATGTGTGCAAGTGATTGTTCCTCCCTAATTGGGGTATTTTGCATTTCTTCTCACTCTTTTCAGACTATTTCTCCAGTTTGCTCATCTCCTTCTGAATTTTAGTCCTGTCCTCCAAAGTCCTTGCTGCTCCTCCCAGAGTGGAATAATTCACAAATGTTGTAGGCGTATTCTCTATGCCATCATCTAATCAAGGTCTTAAACTCCTGCCTTGTGAGCCATCTACAGCTTGAACAGTTCCACAACACAGCCCCAGGAGAGTGTTTCCATACCCTTCCTCTAAGCCCAGCCCCTGCTCTGCTTTTGCTCTGTCCTCTCTCCCCCATGGTACCTGTTTTCCTCAGGCCTCTCCCCTGAGGGACATAGTTTCAGTCTCAGGGCAGCAGCAGGGTCAGCTTTTCCACACTTACTGCAGGGGTGGGAGCCAATGCAGTAGCCTCTGCTCTGCTTCCATCTCTTAGGCCGACTGATCGCTCTGCTTCTCCACTCTGCACAAAACTCACCTGGGCCACAGGGACATGCTGGCAGCAGCATGGAGGTGGCAGTTGGAAACTGCTCTAGCCCCACTATGCTGCAAGTGGTGGCATTGAGGGCCACCAAGGGATTTTAAATCCCTCTTCAAGGACCCCCTTCCTCATCCCACCAGCCCCTGAATCCTGCCAGGGGGGATTCCTGTTGGTCCACTAAGAGGATTTGAGGACTTGCACTGTCTCTAAGGTAAATTGAGTTTCAGACCCCTGATCTAAATAATTTATGAAGATATTGAAGAGAACGGGGTGCAGGACCAGCCCCTGTAGAACTTGCTGGGTATGCTCTTCCAGATTAACTTTGAACCACTGATGACTACTCTCTGACTACCCATTTTATGCTAGCTTCATCTAGGTTGTTTATGAGAGAGTCATGCGAGTCTTTGTAAAGTCAAGCTAGACATCACCAACAACTTCTCCTCTATCCATGCAACTTGTTACCTGTCAAAGAAAGCTGTTCGGTTGGCTTGACAAAATTTGTTCTTTATGAATACATACTGACTGTTTCTTTTCACCTAATTATCTTCTACATGTTTACAAATTGATTACTTGTTTGCTCCATTATTTTTCAGGATTCTGAAGTTAAACTGGCTCATTTATAATTCCCTGGATTGTCCTGATTTCCCTTTCTATATATGGACAATTACATTTGCCCTTTTCCAATTCACTGGAATCTCTCTTGGCTTTGATGGGTTTTCAAAGATAATTGCTAATGGCATGCTGTGAAGAGCTTCAAAAGGATCTCACAAAAGTAGAGGACTGGGCAACAAAATGGCAGATGAATTTCAATGTTGATAAATGCATAGTAATACATTTTGTTAAACATAATCCCAGGTACAGAAGGCCCCCAACTTGCAATGTAATTGGTTCTGGGGGAAGTGTCACAAATCAGGGGCATCATAACTCGAACCTGCATTTACGATAGGCGTTCTACACCATCGTAAATGAGGGTTGAGGGTGTAAATTGGGGGGTTTTGGCCCCTTCTGCACTTACAAAAATGGTTGTAAGTGCAGGGGGTCAGAACTCGGGCGGTCGCAAGTCGAGCCTCCTGCATACATACAAAACGATGGGGATTAATTTAGCTATTTCCACTCAAGACAGTGATCTTGGAGTCATTGTGGATAGATCTCTGAAAACATCCACTCAATGTGCAGCAGCAGTTAAAAAAAAAAGGTTAGGAATCATTAAAAAAGGAGGTAGAGAATAAGACTGAGAATTTCTTATTGACTCTATAAAAATCCATGATATGCCCACATCTTGAATACTACGTACAGATGTGATCACCTCATCTCAAAAAAGATATCTTTGTATTGGAAAAAGTTCCAAAAATGGCAAAAAAATAATTAGGTGTTTGGAATGGCTGCCATCTGAGCAGAGATTAAAAAAATTTGGACTTTTCATCTTAGAAGAGAGGAGATTAAGGGGGGATATGATAGAAGTCTATAAAATCCTGACTGGAGTGGAGAAAGTAGATAAGGAAAAATTATTTACTTGCTCCCATAACACAAGAACTAGGGGGGGTCACCAAATGAAATCTATAGGCAGCAGGTTTAAAACAAACATAAGGGAGTATTTCTTCATACAAAGCATGGTAAACCTGTGGAACTCCATGCCAGAGGATGTTGTGAAGGCTAGGACTTTAACAGGGTTCAAAACAGAGCTAGATAAATTTCATGTAGGCTATTAGCCAGGATGGGTAGGAATAGTGTCTATAGTTTGTCAGAAGCTGGAAATGGGTGCCAGGGGAGATCACTTGATAATTACCAGTTCTGTTCTCTTCCTTTGGGGTACATGGCATTGGCCACTGTCAGAAGACAGGATACTGGGCTAGATGGACCCAATATGGCCATTCTTATGTTCTTATGAGAAGAAAATAAGGTGTGAGAATCTGACTGACCAGAGAATGGGCTACAATGTGAAATGAGAGAAAGCAAAGTGGGGTGAGTAGAAAAATGAGAAAAAGTAGAAAAAAGAACAGAAAGCTGGAGAATAAAAGCAGTGCACAGAAATGAGAGAGAATAGAAAATTAATTTGAAGATGGATCGATTCAATCACATAAGGACAATGAGAAATAAAGGAGTTAAATACCTGGAAGATTAGAATAAGCAAGAAGATGCACACCACATATTAATGAATTTAGTTTATGTATCATCTGTTTTATTGTGCTGCTTCTGCAGCTATCTATGGTGATGGGAGGGGGGACTGAAAAGATGCTATTTTGAACATTTACCTGAATATGGCTGAAGATTCTGGATTAGTTAAATTACGGGAAGGAAACACCCACAACAAAACCAAAGAAGCTAAGTTTAAATTAACTTGAATGCACACAATTCTTCAATGAATGAACCTTTTAGCTCATAAACAGCTGTTTTAGAATGGGGAAATGTTTATTTTGTTATTTTCAATGCTGTGGAGGGTTAAATCTGAGATGATAGACTCCTTTCTGCAGCAGCAAAAGAGGCTGATGGTATCCTGAAGACTATCGGCCCTCCGTACTTCTATTGTCAGTGGCTTCCTGCAAACAGTAGAGGTATCAAAATTTCTCAAAAAAAAGTTAGCAAGAATCACTTCCAGTGAATGTTCTTAGACAATCTAAATATAGGGATAACTACTAAATGCTAATAATTTTATTACATAATTATAAAGTTATTATTGAGGATAGTTCAAGGTCCATCTTATGGTTCTTCCTTTCATGATTCTTATTCTATTGTCTGCCTAGTATCCCATTGGATAAGACTTAGTTAAATTTGGAGGGAATAGGAGTAATTGCTTCACAGGTCCTGCCTTAAAATTCAAGAAGGCTGTTACTGCATAAACAATTCTTACAGCATGCACTCTATATGTTGAGTATCTTTAAATGCAGTTAAAAACAATAGAAGTTCAGGCTCTAGCCATTAGTCAAAAAAGAAGCACTTCTGGTTTCTAAAGATATGTAGCAAAAATTGGGGACAGGATGACATGCCCCTTGTACAACATTATATTTTGTTAAGCAGGGACACTATGTTAAGTCAACATGTTATCCATTATTTTCATTAGAAATTCTAACTAGACTTTGCTGTTGTTCAAGAAGAAGGGATACGGCATTTGCAAATACCACGCACTAAAATGCAGAAGGTAGTATTTTTCTGACATGAAGAGTTTGACACGTGAAAACAGATGTCTTCACTAAACTGGCATTTGCCAAGTTTAATCAACCCCCCTCCAAAAGGAGAAAGGAAAAAAAAAAAAACAAGCGTGTATTAAAATGAGTGCATGGGTAGAATTGGAAAGCATGAGTCTAGGAGAATTATAATATACAGTGCTGGTTGCAGTGTGCTCCCTAGTGCAAGTTTCCTGGGAGTGGTTTTTTTTTTTTTTTTTTTTTTTTTTTTTGAACTGACACAGCAAAGTCTCGAGTTTTGAAACAGATGTTCTTCCAGCAGCTCTGAAGTAACATTATTTGCAGGATACAATGTCATATCAAGGGGTTAGTGGTCCACTTCAGTATTCTAAGAGGACTCACTGCTAATGAAATCAAATGCTTAGAGAAGCATGAGATGCAGGGCTTTAGCTTGTATTTTGGCTCAACTAAGGTGGTCAGTTAATTTCCACAGTATAGCACAACGTTGCATTTCACCATTGCAACTTTTTTCAAAACAAAATATTGGCAAAATCCTCTGATTTCCCTTTAATTACAACCTGGCTTGAAGACTGGAATGATTTGTTTGTTTGAAGAATGTTGACGTTAGAGTGGGAGTCAGAGGGACTGCAAACAGTGGGTATTGTTGTGATTATATTTGCGTCTCTGAAGCTGCTTCATTTGCTGGGACTGATTGATTTTTCAGAAGGTAAAGTGGTCAATCACGGTTTGTACTGTTCATAGTACTGTATCTAGTCTGCTTAGAGACTGTCTCTGTAAAACAGACTGCTAGTCTCTGGTTTAAAACCTGTAACGTGAAAATGCTTGAAAAGTGAGAATAACCTGTGGACTGTGAAATCTTGGTTTTGTTTCTGTTGCATTTATGTACTATTTTAAAATGAAACTAGAATCTGCCATAGGATTTATTATATACAGTGCATCACTTTTTACATCATGTCTGCATTGAAATACGTTGGAAAGGTTGAAAACACATGCATCTATCAGTTATAGTAACCTTTGAGAGCTGCTCACTAGTAGAAAACTTAATTCATACAGATTTATCTCTGCTGTATATAACTGGGTGCTCTTTGGCTTTGATATATGCTCTAAAATAATTATTCTGGGGAGACAGAGAGAGAGAGAGAGAGTGTAACAATTTTTTTATTAGACTGTTCCTTATGTATATAGGGCCATAACATGCCATTTGTTAATAAGAACAACTTCCCCTTAATTTTAGTACCAAGTTCTGTTTAAAATTCAGTGGCACAATGCAGACCATTATACAGATACTAAGCATTGTTGCATGATATTGAATATGCTAACTTCACATTTGCTAATTAAATTTAGTTCTAAAATCAAATTATGCTATCATCAACTCCAATTTCTGTCTGAATGCTGAAGTAAACAAAAGTCATTTACAGCCTAAAGCTTGATTATGTTGTTGTACAAATACCAAATATTTACTGTCACTTCGGCACTATGATTGATTTCTGGTTGCTGTCAGCTAAAGAGAATATATTAATTTTCTGACGCATACATTTTTTTCATAGTGGGAAAAGATCTTTGACTGATAGAGGCTTGAAAAGTGACTTCATAAAACTGTTCAATGTACTGATGAAATGTGAAATATTTAACCTAGTACTTTTACAGTTACTGAATTATTAAATAATTCATCCTTACAACTTCATGTGAGAATTTATCACATTTAGCAACAATAAAGCTTGATACTAAATACTTTTTTATGGAATTGTGAAATTGTTTTTCAAAGTTTTAAACTACAGGTTAATCTGTCCCTCATAATATTCACATTTTTTCTTTTAAACTCTAGGTTATGTAGACTTGCACATAAACATTCAGTGTCTTCAAAGTTTCATCTTACTTAATTGCATGAAAACATCAACTTGATAACTAATGGCAATGAAGTATTTATAGAAAAAGTCTAAAATACAGCATTCATCCATTTAGCAATTATGAGTTTATCCCTTTTCTTGATTCCTCACAAAATCATATTGTAATTAAGTCCGAGAAAACATTCTATATGTTACAGCAAAAGCAGTACATCATGCCCCTAAAAAAAATCTGCTAGTAACAAACCAACCGTGTAAGAAACAGACAGTGCAGTGTGATATAGAATAGAAAGCATAACTATTTACAGTTAAGATTAACATTATGCAATTAATTGCAACTGTGATATTTCATCACATAATATAATAATTGTATTTATGATCACCCAGCAACATGGAATTGAGAAATCTGTGCAGTAGAAAAATAACATTATAAAATACAGTAAAAACATTATAGCATTAGTAGTTTGATTTAAAATAGCAGGAGTAGTTAGCAGGATTTCTTGCTCAATTGAGGCCTGTTTAATGCTTATCTCTTATCTCTTACTCAGCACCCTCCACCTGCTAAAGTTAACAACAATATTTGCCCATGTAAGAAATGGATAAGGAATAATTCATGACATTCACTGCAGCTTTGCCACTGGCTTCAGTGGGAAAAGGATCAGGTCCTGTTGGTCAAATGCTGATGTTTTACACAAAAAAGACTGTTAGGAATCATTAAAAAGGGATAGAGTATAAGACAGAATATCTTTCTGCCTCTGTATAAATCCATGGTACGCCCACATCTTGCATACTGCATGCAAATGGGATTGCCTCATCTCAAAGAGATATCCTTGGCATTGGAAAAAGTTCAGAAAAGGTCAACAAAACTGATCAGGGGTCTGGAATGGGTTCTATAATAAGAAAGATGAAAAAGACTGGGGATTTTCAGTTTAGGAAAGAGAAGACTAAAGGGGTATAATAGAGGTTATAAAATCATGACAGGTTTGGAGAAAGTGAATAAGGAAAATATATTTACTTGTTCCCATAACATAAGAACTAGGGATCACCAAATGAAATTAATAGGTAGCAGGTTTGAAACAAACAAAAGGATTCTTTTTTCATGCAGTGCACAGTCAATCTGTGGAACTCCTTGACAGAGGGTGTTGTAAAGACCAGGACTTTGACAGGGTACAATAAAGAACTAGATACATTCATGGAGATTAGGTTAATCAATACTTATTACCCAGTCCCTACACTGTGTTTGTCAGAGGCTGAAAATGGCTGACAGAAGAGGGATCACTTGATGATTACCTGTTTCTGTTCTCTCCCTCTGAGGCATCTGGTATTGGCCAATGTCAGAAGACAGAATACTGAGGTAGATGGACCGACTCACTATGGCTGTACTTATGTTCTTATAGAAAATAAGATAAAAAGGGTTGTGTATTTAGATCAAAATGAAAGATAAAGGATTATCTCAGATCCCACAACCAGAAGGCAGAGCATGAGGCACCTGTACAAGCAGGCCAATGCAGCAACCTTGTGTTTGTTTATAAGTGTAGGCTTTTATGTGGTACTCTTCAATGATATTCCATCTACACTAATGAATTTGTCTTGCCAACACTACTGGAGGATAGGATAGTATTTTAATCAAACACAGAGGGTGAAAGGATAAAACTTCATTGGGCCCAAATTGTCAGAACTCCACTGAGCTCAGTAAAATTATAACATTGATGCATGGCAGTTTACACCAGCTAAGGATCTTCCCCAAAGAGATGTGGCTATGCTCAGTCAGAAAGTCTGTAGCACAGGTGAGAGCAGAAATCAGATCTCCTCAGTCTCAGACCCAGTCCAAAGGTTTACTCACAAAATTACCCTTTCTTCCTATTTGAGATCAGGAAAATACCCTTGACATTTCCCTACGCTTACTCTCTTCCCTCTCCTCTGTCTGCATGTAGCTGAAAAGGGCTTTGCTGTCCCTTTACTTGCCTCACTGCTTCTTAATCTATCCACACTATGGAACTGTAGCACTTTATTGTTTATTTAATTACGATCATTTACAATAAAATAAAAAGGCCCCCATCTACTATTCTAGGCCCAGTAGACAGTGTCAAATAATTTTACAACACAAACACAGCCACAGAATTCTCCTAAAATACTCCACCAAGAAGAAACATGAGACTAGCCATATGGGTCAGACAAATGGTCCATTTAGAGCAGTATACTGTCTTCTGGCCGATGCCAGAGCTTCTGAGGGAATTAATAGAACATGGCAATTATTGACTGAGCCCTGTTATCCCATCCCAGCTTCCTGACCATCTTTGCCAATAACCATCCATGGACAATGAACTTATCTCTCTCCCTTTTTTTAAACCCAGTTCCACGTTTGGCTTCCACAATATCCACTGGCAATAAATTCACCTGGTTGACTGTGAATTGTGGGAAGAAGAACTTCCTTATGTTTTTATTTTTAAAACTGCAGCCTATTAATTTCATTACGTGACTTCTGGTTCTTGTGTTATGTGAAAAAGTAAATAACTGTTCTGTAACCCTGTCCAACCTCCACTGTAGTCCCCTTTACTTGTCTCTTTTCCAAGATGAAAAGCCCCAAGCTTTTTAATTGCTTCTCATATGGAAGTTATGTCATACCCCTAATCATTTTTTGTTGCCCTTCCACTCCAGTTCTAGTGTATCTTTTCTGATCTATTAGAATTTGACTCTAATACTCTGTGTGTATTGTGATATATATGCTGCATATAGTATTCAATATTTGGGCATGCTGTAGATTTATATAGCAGCATTATGATTTTATTAAATTCATTATCTAGCCTCTTTTTTAGTGGTTCCTAATATTCAGTAAGTTTATTTTACCAGTGCTGAACACGAAGTACATTTTCAGAATTCTGTCCAGGGAGACTCTAGGATTTTTTTTGTTAAGTGTTGTCAACTGACTTAGACCTCACCATTTTGTTTGTAAAGTTGGGATTATGTTTTCCAATGTGTGTTGTATTGCATTTATCAACAATGACTCTCATCTGCAGCTTTGTTGCCCAGTCATCCAGTTTAGTGAGATACCTTTGTAACTCACTCTAGTCACAAATGAGTAGGCAGTATTTTCCCCAAAAAACTTCTATGCACAGTCACCCCATAAGGAAACATTCTCTTCAGCCAGCCAGACAAGAAGATGAGCCTTTTAGTATGCCCTGATGGGTAATAGTGCCTGAATGAAAGCCTGGTATAAAGATCGCCCTGTAGAGAAAAGTTCCACTGCTAGTTCCCTCTCTCTTAAATGAAGAGTAGCCAGCCAGCCCCTTCAGATGTATTGCAGTATGTCAGTTTTATTTATATAGGTATCTGGAAAGGTGTGCATTTCTGTGGTGTTTGTAGATTTGTATTTGAGCTTCAGGAGTGGGCCTTTAATGTACTCCTTGCAGCTGGGATAATGCGTGGTCCTAATTCCACACATACATTTAAAATAATTCTACTGGAGAAAAAAGATTGAGTTGATTACAAAAATGGGGAAGGGAAAGAATCATGAAAGCTTTGTGAAATATTTAAGAAAAAATACCCTTTTTTACTTTTTTATTGACAGCTGTGGTGTCCTGTAACAAATAAAACCTGAACTTAGCATAATAACGTGCCCAAAATAAATACAGTGAAAATGAGCATTTGAGAGAGGATGGGAGAGAGCAAGCAATGGGGAGATGGGGACAGGGTCTCAGGGAAGGGGCAGTGCAATGGGCAGGGGGTCTCAGGGAAGAGATGGGCAGTGGGTGAGGCAAGGGTTTTGGTTTTCTGGAATTAGAAAGTTGGCAAACATATCTGTAGAGCAGATGGTGCCAGCCTTCTCTTTGTCCCATTTATTCTACTCCTTCCTATAAGCAGC